GGTAATAGTGTAGTAGTAGTAGTAGTAGTAGTTTGGTAATAGTGTAGTAGTAGTAGTAGTAGTAGTAGTAGTAGTAATAGTGTAGTAGTAGTAGTAGTTTGGTAATAGTGTAGTAGTAGTAGTAGTAGTAGTAGTAGTAGTAGTAAGTAGTAGTAGTAGTAGTAGTAGTAGTAGTAGTAGTTTGGTAATAGTGTAGTAGTAGTAGTAGTTTGGTAATAGTGTAGTAGTAGTAGTAGTAGTAGTAGTAGTAGTAGTTTGGTAATAGTGTAGTAGTAGTAGTAGTTTGGTAATAGTGTAGTAGTAGTAGTAGTTTGGTAATAGTGTAGTAGTAGTTTGGTAATAGAGTAGTAGTAGTAGTAGTAGTAGTTTGGTAATAGAGTAGTAGTAGTAGTAGTACAGAGCCACATGCTGTACATACTCAAGGTAAATAACTTGAAATACTGATTAAATCCTGTTTAAGGTTCACAAACACACTTGTGATTATAAATTGTAAAGTGCACTGTGTAACTTTTTGTTTGAGGGCTCCGTCACCTGCTGGTTTCTATGGAGATGTCATTGCTCTGCCTGAAATGTTCCACAGTATGACTTTAAACAGCTCTACTTTGCGTTTATTCAATTACAGGTGGTTTTATTGCTCTAGAAAAAAAACAAAAAACATCCTGACTGAGCGGGGTCGCCTCTCCACAGATCTGACCTGTAACTTGGTCTGGTTTGGTCTCCATGAAGATAGAAAGGTTTAATGCCGTACTGTGAAACATTCCAGACAAAGCAACAACATCTCCATGGAGACAAGCTTTTGACCCTCCCCCAGAAAAGTTATACAATGCATTTTTAATAGTTTTATTGTTATTTAAATGTGTTTTAAATGATTGAATATAACAAATACTGTCCAAAATAATATTAGGAATTAATTCACATTCAATTTAAATTTTTTTGTGACGCAAAAGACGCAGATTTTGTGAAATAAACGTTGCATTGTGTAACTTTTCTAGTAGAGGGTCTGTCTGCCTGACGATTTTCTCCATGGAGATATTATCGCTTTCTCTGGAATGTTTCACAGTGTGGCATTAAACCTTTCTATCCTCATGGAGACCAAACCGGACCAAGCTTACAGGTCAGATCTGTGGAGAGGCGACCCCGCTCACAGTCAGAACGCCCGTTTTTCTAGGAATTTCTGAGCTGTAAAACCACCTGTAATTGAATAAATGTTAAGGCAGAGCTGTTTAATGTCACACTGTGGAACATTTCAGGCAGAGCAATGACATAACCGAAAAGTTACGTAATACACTTTTAATTAACGTCTTAAAATCTCCTGGTTTAGGCGAACTGAAAATCCCGACCTCTCTATTTTAGTCAAGGCCACGAAACGTTGACATTGACTAATCATAATTTTGTGTGTGTGCGATTCCTCCCACAAGAGAATTCTTAAAAAGGTTGAAGCGGCTCCTTAAATCTCTTTATTATCATCGTCTCTGTTACACATTTATGTCTCCCAGAGGGCTGTGCCGGGAAATGCCCCCAGACTAAATGGTTTCGTGTATTCCCTGAAGCTCAATCTGCGTCCTCATGGTGTTTATTTACTCGCTGCTGTTACTACGTGTTCACTCGTCCAAAAAAACAACAAAACAAAACAAAAAAAAAAGACTCTTTGAAACCAGAGATAATTTAGAGCGTTTTTATTTGTGTTTTTAGGAGCAGTTTTCTCAAGTGCTGGACGCCATGTTTGAGTCCCTCGTTCAGCCTCGGGATCACGTGATCGATCAGGGAGCCGACGGAGACAATTTCTACGTCATCGAGAGGTGAGACGATGAAGGTTTAACGTATTCACCATGGACTGTTCAGATTTCTCTGACCTGGCCAAGATTTTAAAACTTATATTAGGTTATTCATTCATTTTGTTTTCAGATTTCTTGTCTACTTACTACTTCTGAGTCGGCTTAATTCTAGTCTAGAGGAAGTTTATTTTACGATAACTTGTCAAATAAAATTATCTTGCTGCATGGACTGATAATTTCACTACTCATTGTCTGATAGATTTAAGTGTTTATATCTTAAATTTTGGCCAAACTTTTTTTGCATCGTATACAGTTTAAATGAATATACTGTATTTTCGCACCAGCCAGTGTGTAATGAAGAAGAAAAAAAAACATATTTAAGTTGCACTGGACTATAAGTCGGGAAATTGATTTTATAAAATCAGAGACCAGTTTACCAAACTCTCCATCTCACTCCAAATCGCTAATCGCTATCGCTTCTGTGCAACTCCGCAACCTTCGGAGGTAAACAGAGCACCACTTCCTCTTCTGTGTCGCTGTCGTCAGACTCGGCATCAGTTCCAGTTAGAATTATTTGGGCCTTTCTGAATCCCGACAGGATGGTTTTGGTTGTCACAGAAGTTCAGGCTTTGTCGATTCGTCCAATGACTTCCAGGAAAGTTGAATGGCGCACCATCCCAGTTACCATGAAGCTGTGTTGCCCTTCCCCCGCTTTTCGCCAGTCCCTCACAAGTTTCTCGCTCACTCCAAACTTTCTTTCTGCTGTTCGATTACCGTTTTCGTCAGAGTATTTCGCTACTTGCAGCAAGACACATGCAGGAGACATGCGCAGTAGAGCGAAGTGACAGTGGTACAGGAGTAATAGGAGCAGCAGATACTGACAAACAAGACTAGAGCCTCTCGCCGCTTCAGTGTGAAAATTTTAATATATAAGTTACACCGGAGTAGGGATGGGCATTCGATGAAATTTTCTTAATCGATCGTCGGAAGAATTAACGATTGATTAATCATTAACGTTTTTATATTAAAATGATCATCATTATTATTACTATCTGCACTACTAATCTGCATAAATAAATTCAACTTTACGACATATAAACCGTAACGACTCTAGAGCCACATCAGCCTGTTTGACATTATAATGTGTTTAATTCAGTTTTGTTCAACTCGCACAGAAACTAAACTTAAAACCACATCGCTAATTTGCATAAACTAAGTGAAGATAAAACTACAGCTCTTGTGTCGCTGATGTGGTTCAATTTCTGTCGGATTAAAAGACATGACTCAGGTGAATACAGGTTAGTGTGACCAGATTTGCATTTGTCAAAACCAGGACACCGTACGGGGGGAGGGAGGTGGGGACTCGTCATTGACATTGAGCGACTCTCACCTGACAAAACTTTTTCCCACTGGACACAGAAACATATGTGCTGCTTTGTAAACTGTGCACATGGACTCACACTTGTCCCGAACGCAACGGAAAGCGTGGAATTTCTTGTACAAATCATTGTTAAATACACATTTGTGCTTCTGCACGTTACAGACTGACCCACTGTTTGTGTCTCGCTCCTTCTGATGCAGAGACACATGTACACACCTGTTTGGTCACGATACACACAGCAACCTACATTCGGTTTGTCGATTAAAATGAACGTAATCGATGAAATTCTTAACGATCAATTATCGATTAATCGACTAATCATGCCCATCCCTACACCGGAGTATTGCAGGAAGTCGCAAGTCGCAGGACCACCCAAACCATGAAAAAAAAGTGCAACTTATAGTCTGAAAAATACAGATTTCTTGCTCCGTGTGGCTCCCATTGACTTACATTGAAAAATTGTCACCCCCTCTCTCTGTAAGTGCATCTTAAAATGTTCGTATTAACCCGCTCTACATGATCCGGTGTTTTTTATTTTTTTCTATTTTGTCTGTTAAAAAAAAAATCCTATTCCTTATGTGAAGCCTGGTTCCAAAATTGCCCCTTAACTGTGAGCATCATGAGCTTCATTTGAGTGGAGACAAACGCTGTGGGTCACATCACACTCACTTAGGCTGCGTTCAGACTGCAGCCTGAAGTGACCCAAATCCGATTTTTTGGCTTCTACGTGACCTGTATCTGATCTTTTAATGACTTGTGACATGCGACTTCAGTCTGAACGGCCAAAGTGCATTTATCCGACCTACACGTTATCAACAAGCCACAAACGTCACTATTCTGCACTGAAGTAGGCGAAAATTGTTAATGAACTCCGTGTTACTGAAGAGAAGCACATCACCACTCACCACTCTTGGCTCCGTCTCCACATCCACACGTTCCACCACGGCCAAAAACCTCGTCCTTCTCCTTCTCAATCTCCTCCTTAAAACAAGTGAGTTGTTCATGTTCTGGCTCCGGTGTTAGACTTTAATCTGAGCTTTAATTTAACACAATTTGACCATAAAGAAGAACTGACTTTGTTGGAACTAGAACAGGAGAGCAAATCTTTCAGTTCGTCACTTTTACCCTTTTGGTGGAAATAACACTTTTAAAAAGGACCATGAACGCTCGTATTGATCACAGGCTCCTGAAAATGTGCTGTTTTTAAATCCATTTTGTATTTTTTTCTTGAGTTTTTCTTGAGTTTTCTGATCTTTAAACATATTTGGAAGTTCGTAGTTGCAATGGCCACGACAGACCTCACTCTAGAAAAGTTTTAGTGCACCTTTTAACTTGTACTCTTTTATTTTTATTTTATCCCGTTGTTTTACGGTTTGTGAGCAGATCTAATTCCCTATATTGTCTCTAGTCTTATCTTTACGGTTTGTTTGAGCTAGACTGAATGTGCAGCTCATAAATGAAGAATATACAGCGTGTGGTCGAGTACACGGAGGCACAGAGGCCGTCAGCTGGACATGTCCCAGCTGTATATTTCAGACGGACGTTTACGGCTTGTACACACGCGGTGTTAAAGGTAGCGACGTGGAGGAGCAGGCAGGCGCAGACAGGTGCAGAGCTGTAGCAGACTGTACTGAGAATTTATACTTTGCACTGACATCACGCTGGGGGTGTTGTACTTGTAAGTGTATTGCGGAAATTTCATCAGTTTCCATGATGACACAACGTACACATCAGCAAACACTGTCAAAAAATACAAGAAAAAATTGATTTAAACAACACAAAACACATTTTCAGGAGCCTGTGATCAATACGAGCGTTCATGGTCCTGTTTAGGAGTTTGATTTTCAGCAAAAAGGTCAGAGTGACTGACTGAAAAACAGCTGGATAATGTTACCTGGCTTGTCACTGTGGTCTTATTTGACTTGTTTAACTGTAAAAAAAATCAGCTCTCCTGTTGCAGTTCCAACTAAGTGAGTTCTTTCTGGTCTGTTGTGCTGGAATTAAGCTCAGATTAAAGTTTAACAAAGTAAAACAGAGTAGTGCTCGCTAGGGGTGGGCAAAAATACTGAAATATTGATACAGTCGTCCCTCGCTATATTGCAGTTCACCTTTCCCGGTCTCGCTGTTCTGTGCCGTGTCTCCTGTACAGAACAGAATGTGTTCAGCTTGACAAATTTACATAAATGTTTGATCAGTAGCAGCGTGATTCTGAAGTGCAGCGCGATCGGGCAATTGCCGCGTTTATACCGTGAGGTGCGGAGCTCTGCGTCGGTCCTTTCTCCTGCGGTCACCTCCCAGCCCGTCCCGACACTTAGTCCTGGTTTAGTACTGGTTTAGTCCTGTTTAATGCTGTTTTAGTCCTGGTTTAGTCCTGGTTTAGTCCTGTTTAATGCCTGTTTAATCCTGGTTTAGTCCTGGTTTATGTCTTTAGTCCTGTTTTTAGTCCTGTTTAATACTGTTTTAATCCAGGTTTAGTCCTGGTTTAGTCCTGTTTAATACTGTTTTAGTCCTGGTTTAGTCCTGTTTAATACTGTTTTAGTCCTGGTTTAGTCCTGTTTAATACTGTTTTAATCCAGGTTTAGTCCTGGTTTAGTCCTGTTTAATACTGTTTTAATCCAGGTTTAGTCCTGGTTTAGTCCTGTTTAATACTGTTTTAGTCCTGGTTTAGTCCTGTTTAATACTGTTTTAGTCCTGGTTTAGTCCTGTTTAATACTGTTTTAGTCCTGGTTTAGTCCTGGTTTAGTCCTGTTTAATACTGTTTTAGTCCTGGTTTAGTCTTGGTTTAGTCCTTCTCTTCAGTCCTGGAATCAGTCCTAGGTTAGTCCTGGGTTAGTCCTGGTTTAGTCTTGGTTCAGTCCGTGCCGTATGCATCTCAAAAGTTTGATATAATCTGGGGTTAACGGGCGGGTGCGGGCAGGTGCGGGCAGGTGCGGGCAGGTGTGGTCCTGTACTGCGCAGGTGCAGGTCTCCAAAAATGGACCCGTGCAGGACTCTGCGCTTTAGGGCCTCGGAACGAAATGAATGAATCTTCGGTTCGTTACATAAAGAAGGAGGAAAATAACAAAAGGACGACAGCAGCAATAAGTTTGAAGAAGGATGTAAAAAGGTTTGTAGAGAGAAAATATGAGAAAAGTGTATAAAGTGTGTGGTGAGTTTTACAGCCTTAAAACAGATATAATCATTGTAAAATATAAAGTTGATACTTCACAGATTTCACCTATCGCGGGTTATTTTTAGAACATAACCCCCGCGATAAACGAGGGACACTGTATATCGTATTGTTTAATGTTATGATACAGTATCGATATCGTGGGCTGCTGTATCGATACATCGCCATGAGTGTTTTTTGGTATATTTTACCAAATAATTTTGTTACTCTACAGTTTTGTTACTTGTTTAGAGAAAGGAAACTTGTTTAAGCAACACATTTAACATATTCACTGTTTTGATGATTAAAGTGTTTGTGTGTCATATGAACTTTGCACACAGACTTTTAGAATCAAAGCCATGATTTAGCCTGTATTATTTATTGAACCATATCGAATCGGTTTGAAATATATATCGTATCGAACCAAAAGTGCACTGTATCGAGGTCTGTATCGTATCAACAACTACTTCACGATGCTTCACGCAGTTTGCATCACACCACGAGGGAATGTTGCTGAGTGTAAAGTATCATAGAGTGAGATGGGTCCAGATCAGGGATGAGCAAACTTTGACTCGTGGGCCACAAATGGTTCTAAAATTTGACGGAAGGGCCGGGCCAGGAGCAGATGGATGAAGTTTTTTGGTAATCCATCTCATAAAACAACAAAATAACACGGGATATGTAAAAAATATATCCTGTGTTACTGAAATATCCCATAATTGAAAATCATTCCAAAGCATCACAGCAAAATCTCTGTCTTTCAAGTCCCACAGTTTATTCCATTTATTGGAATGACGTTTAAAACACTGAAAATTATTCTTATTATTCAAGTTTGGCGGCCGGATTAAAGGGCTGCATAGTAGTTTGCCCATCCCTGGTCTGGATGATGCAGAGGAGGGCAGTGTTGTGGAGTAACAGATTACATGTACCAGAGTTATGTAATCAGAGTACAAATTATGAGTAACTGTATTCAGTTACAGTTACTGTTTCAGTGAGTGGTAATTGGATTACAGTTACTTTGTTGAAATAAATGGATTACATAGCGGTAAAGTTCCTGTTTTCACATTTTAGGCTAAATCCCTTTTTTTTTTTTTTTTTAAAGTAATTCCACTCATTGCCGGACACTAAACAGGACTAAAACCAAGACTAAAACCAAGACTAAAACCAAGACTAAACCAGGACTAAACCAGGACTAAATCAGGATTGAACCAGGACTGAACCCAGGTCTAAACAGGACTAAAACAGGACTAAACCAGGACTAAACCAGGTCTAACTAAAAACCAGGTCTAAACCAGGACTAAACAGGTCTAAACCAGGACTAAACCAGGTCTAAACTAAACAGGACTAAACCAGGACTAAACCAGGTCTAACCTAGATCTAAACCAGGTCTAAACCAGGTCTAAACCAGGACTAAACCAGGAAACCAGGACTAAACCAGGACTAAACCAGGTCTAAACCAGGTCTAAACCAGGTCTAAACCAGGTCTAACTAAACCAGGACTAAACTAAACAGGACTCTAAACCAGGCTAAACTAAACCAGGACTAAACTAGGTCTAAACCAGATCTAAACCAGGTCTAAACCCAGGACTAAACTAAACCAGGACTAAACCAGGTCTAAACCAGAAACTAAACCAGGACTAAACCAGGTTAACCTAGATCAAACCAGGTCTAAACCAGGTCTAAACCAGGTTAAACCAGCTAAACTAAACTAACTAAACCAGGACTAAACCAGGACTAAACCAGGACTAAACCAGTAAACCAGGTCTAAACCAGGAAACCAGGTCTAAACTAAAAACCAGGACTAAACTAGATCTAACCAGGTTAAACCAGGACTAAACCAGATCTAAACCAGGTCTAAACCAGGACTAAAACAGGATTTAACAGGACGAAACCATTCTATCAATAATATTTTTAATACGGTTAAGGAAAGTCTGGGCTTTTTATTTTCTTTTAACAGACAAAACATCTTATGTGAAGATTTCCGAGTCTTTGCTTCTCTACAGAAAATCAAGTAATCCAAAGTATTCAGATTACATTACTCACTTTAAGCAATTTAATGGATTCTGTTACAAACTACATTTTGGTGTATGTAATCTGTAATCTGTAGGGGAATACATTTTAAAAGTAACACTCCCAACACTGGAGGAGGGTCAGTCACTGTCCCTCTTTGGTTTAACCCTGAACTGGAGCTGATCTGAGCTGTTTGTATTTGGTCTTTAATCCTGAGCGGCAACAGCAAATGAGCCCCGTCTCTAATCCACACTGACATTTACTACCACAGCACTGACAGGTTCAGAGGAAGGCAGGTGGACAGGTGTGTGGACATTCAAAATATACAGTACTAAAATATGTAAGACCAAGTGATAAGAAGCAAACGATTATTGGCCAGAAATAGCTGGACTGGACGTGTTTATACTGTATATATATTTTGTTTTCCCCCCAGAACATCAATTACATTTTTATTTTTTTTTAATCACCGGGCTTCACAGAAAATGGTTGACTTGACCTGGTTTGATCACAATACTAAAATTTCAATCTTGATTTTGATGATAGAGAAAGGTTGATAGTGCAGTAACTTTTTTTTTTTTTGTAATTCTTTATTTTCAAATAGTGGTTTACAGATACTAGATAAACTTTTTACTTTTTACTTTTCAAAAAATACATAAGACGGCCACTTTCTGTCAAGTTTTTATTATTTATTTAGTTTATCATTATGCGTTAACAGAACTTTATACACGTAAAGAGAGAGAGAAAAGAAGATGCGCATGCACATAAAATAAAAACAAAAGTACAAGTACAAAAGTAAAAAACAAAAATAAAAAATTAAATAAAAAATAATTCTCCAATACCAATTTTGATAAAACACTGGCATAAAAGCCCCCACATTTTTAAAGAATATATGATGCACTTATAAAATAAAATAATATAAATAACTGTAAACTTTTTTTTTTTTGCTATTCTGGAAAATGCATTTTTTTGTCTAATATTTACATCTGGTTTGTGCTTTGAATCATGTTGTTTTTTTTAATTTTTTAGCCAGATTTTTTTCATGTTTTATTACTTTTTTTCCTCTTTTGATTGATTCCGTTTCTGCACATTTATTACCGAACTGTCAGACTTGGAGAAAACATGTGTTTGCAGCACGACGCGACGTCTCGGTGTGATCTCTTTAATGAATGTCATGTGTAACTGATTTGTGGTGTGTTCAGGGGCGTGTACGACATTGAAGTTTCAGGGAAGGTCGTGGGACAGTACGACAACAAGGGCAGCTTTGGAGAGTTGGCGCTAATGTACAACACACCGAGAGCCGCCACCATCATCGCCACCCAGGAGGGGGCGCTCTGGGCACTGGTGAGAATCTGCTTTTTTTAATAAATTTTCGATTGACTCAAAAGTATCTTACAGTTACATTCAGTCCCCAGCAAAAGTTTATGGGGATTTAAAGGTGCAATGTGTAACTTTTCTGGAGATGTTATTGCTTTGGTATGTCCCACAGTATGGCATTAAACATTTACATCTATCACTTTATTTATTCATTACATCAAGTGTTTCTGTTGCTCAAAAATACTCAAAAATGATTAATATAGTGCTGTAACCTGCTCGTCTCCCTCATGATAGATTTACCGTATTTTCCACACTATTAGGCGCTCTGGATTATAAGGCGCACTGTCATTGAATGGTCTATTTTCGAACTTTTTTCACAAATAAACCGCACCGGACTATAAGGCGCATTAAACGAAACACAACAGTTAGATAAGTCAGTCAAACTTTATTTAACGCATTCACAATAACTCTAACTAATTGTTCATAATTGTTCAAACAGTTGGGCGATTACGGCGTCCAGCACGTCCACATCCCTCTCGTCATTATCCGAGTCAGTGTGGTTACTGTTCCCTGACAGTTCAGTGATGATTCTGGTCTTGGTGAAAGCTCGGACCACAGTTGATACTGATCTTTAGTCCGGGCGTCCACGATCCGTTGGCAGATCGTGGCGTAAGTCGCTCGGCGCTGTCTCTCTGTCTTGGTGAATGTGTGTTCTCCTTCTCTCATCCACTGCTCCCACGCAGCTCGCACTTTCACTTTAACCTCTTAGAATTCCAGGCCATTTTAGTTCTCTCCAAACTAAAATGCCATGAGTGTCAGTTCATATACACAAGTTTGGGTTTTTGTAAGTAACGTTTCACCACAGTGTAAGAATCACTCTAAGTATGTCTGGTAGGTATTTATACACTTGGCACACACCTAAAAAATTATTTTTCTCATCCTCGCCAAAATTTTTTGTTAAAAATTAAGGTGTAAGAAAGCTGCAGTAGGTAGCTGGGACTGAAACACTCTATATTTCTATTGAAAAACCATGTTGACCATCTTACATTTCAAATTTGATGAGAATATCTATAAAAAATGAGGATTTTAGACTACTTTTATGCTAGTATATTTAGGCGTTTTCCAGAGGGACTTTTGCTTTATCCAAAATTTATCCAAACCTATCCAAACTATCCAAATGGAGACATTTGGAGAACGTTTGGAAAAAAATGCAATAACTTTTGAATGCTTCAACCCACAGACATCAATGAGGGCTTACTGAAAGCTCACACTTAGAGGAATCTTTATCTACACACCAAGCTGCTCTATTCCTTATGAAAATATATATAGCATACTCAAAACACAAATAAAATGTATATTTATATATAAAATATAGTCAAAACAAGTGTTATGGGTCAAAATAAATGTATATTTACAAATGTATAACAATGCAAACTGTAAACAAACACACTTCAAACCGTAAACAAACACAATTCAAACTGTAAAACACACACAACTGCAAACTGTAAAAACACTTTTCTATTGTCCTTGTTCTTTGTGCCAGTCATTATAACAGTCCCTTTGTGGCTGGAAACACAGGGGCACGTTCACAGGTTGAACATTTTACAGCCGTTTTCGCATGGCACTTCCTGCATTTCAGTCTTCCTTGGGTCTTGTCACCACTTGCGACGATGTGCACAAGACGATGATGTGTCTCTTTCCTACTCTCCTCCTCCCGCTCTGTACTGATGGCTTCCTGCCTCTGCCAGCTCCAATACAAGGGTTTCTCTAAATGCCTTTTGGTGCATTGGGATTTTAGCCTTTAACGTGCACTGTCCTTTATAAAGGATAAAGGCATTCACCACAGCAATGTCCACAAATGATAAAAAAAAGTCTTGTACCATTTTTTGGTTTTGTGTAAACCTCATAATATCCGATCAATGCATCGGATAGGTCAACGCCTCCCATGTGCCTAAGGAAAAACACAAATACGTTAGCAAACAAGCAAGTACAAAACTGAGAGGGGATGAAGCAATATTATATCATATACATACCTGTTATAGTCCTTGATGGCTGGTGGAACTGGCACATCTTACATAGTCCAACAGCCTGTGTCATTCCTTTACCGGCGGCGCTCCACTGTCTCCTCTCCATGGGCAGTGTGCATGGTGGAGCTCAGATGAATACATCACGGGTGTCTTTCCATTGGACAAAGAGCAAGGGGTCCCTCACGAATCCACCTTATACTGCCACGGGGAGCTCTGGAGTCCAGCGTATTTTCTGTTTGTCCTGGGTATCCTTGTCTATTAGTTCTTATTGTGCCACAGGCTGACACTTTTTTTTTCAGAAGGTCACGGAATAGAATAGGGCTAGTGTAAAAATTGTCTACATAGAGTTTATAGCCTGTGCCCAGTAGAGATGTTCCAAAAGGGTCATAACAGAGTCATAGCTCAGCCCGTTTCTTGCTGGCTGAGAGCTTTTGCCCTCATAAACAAAGAATCCCATGTGTAGCCTGATTTTGAGTCTGCCAAAAACAAATAACTTGTAGCCCCACCTTACAGGTTTGCTTTTTAAGTATTGTTTTGAAGCTCACTCTTGCCTTTGATGCCACCATCCTTTCATCAATGCGATATGCTGACCAGGTGTAATTCTGGCGGCATGCATCTCTTATCTCAGTAATACAGTGGTTTGATCTTGCCCAAGCGGTCAAACTCTTTCAGTGCCTCTTTTTCCTTCATTTTTGGCATCTTCTTCTGGACTATCAAGTGGAGAGCACGGATAATAGAAAAGAATTTCTTTCCGGTCATAACTGATTTAGGGAATGTAGGCTGTACAACTTTTTCCTCTTCTCCAGTAATCAGTAAGTGAAGGTACTTTTGCGAATCCCATGGTATATAACAAGTGCCAAAAAATGAGAAAATGTCTTGAAGCGCAATGTCCGTCCATGCTCTGTATGCTGATTGGCCATGCATATTTGTGTTTCTGATAAGTGTCGATAAACACAGTACCAGTAAAAAACAGCTGGAACAGTTCCAGACATGTGTAGTCAGATGTGCTAATGAGTTGAGGTCAGGAAGTACGTGTTAGGACAAAAGGGAAGGGGGTAGGTGTGAAATCCGCCCACTTCTGTATTGTTCCAACGTCCTGTGGAAGGTGAAGATGGTCTTGCACCTCTGCCTCTGCCTCTGCCCTCCTCCCGTCCTCTCCTCTTTTTGCTGTTTTCTCAACCCGGGGAATCTTTTGAGAAGGCCCGGCTCTGGTTCGGCTGCAGGCACTGAGTCAGTCTAAAATGAAAACAACAAAAAACATATTATAATACTATAAATGATTTGTAAACAGTAAATGCTACTATACAGATTGCTCTACAGACTATTATTCTACTACTGTATAATATTCAACCACTACTTACACTTGCCTCCCTCCCCCACAAACATTCACACCATATTTACACCTTGCAACTAACTTCATTCCAACATTGTATACACCTAAAATAGTCTCATACTGTAACAAATGCACTCAAAATACATTGCATTTATTGATCAAATAAAGTAACTTACTCAGGGTCATCAATTTCCACATGCACCTCAGCCAAAACTTCAGTGTCTGGTTCCCAATCAGGGTCAGAGTCATTTTGCCTGTAAAAGAAGAATAGTGTTTATTTGCCACTATGTATGCCATATTATAAGATGCTGCAACTTATTGTTTCACCATTTATTATGTGTATACTTGTTTTACTCTGGGCCTACATGCCCTTATCTACAGTAATTAGAGATTAGAAGTCTGATCCAAAAAACTAACTAAAAGTGCGCCTCCCCAGTGTGCACGGTGTACATAAATGCTGTTTAGGTATCTGATATTTATTACATTTTACAATATTTTACATTTATATTTATAGCGGGAAAAATAAATACACTTACCGATCCAAAATGGCATCCCAATCCCTCAAAAAACATTTCTTCTTCCACTGAGTCCACCGCGGACACATCGCTCTCCGGTTCCGACAGCTCCTGGTCCGAGGTGTCACTCAGCCTTCTCTCGTACATATTTCCGCAGCTTCCAAGGCTGAAAACCGCGTCTTCTCTGTTCGTTTAGCCATAACTTTGAAACAAAGGCAGAGCACACCAACACGCACGGAGTATGTACTGTACTATACTGTACTATACTGTACTGATGTACTGTGTACAGTAAACACCTCAAACTGTATATATAAACTCTTTTTTGACTGCCCATTGGCTATTAGGTAAAAAGCGTCACTAGTGCGTAACGCGTAACCATTGGCTGCGTAAAAGACGCACGCTTTACGCACACAGTCTGTTTGCGTTTGTGCCGGCGGTTACGCATCATCCAAGCGGCGCAGGTATACAGAAAACCATGGCTTGTGATATGTCATTGTGTTCATTGGCTCGTTGACTGTAAGGGAAAATATCACTCCGCGCCTGTAATCAAGTTGGGTGATTGTGCACGAGGGGAAGTGGGGAGTAAACTTTCTGAGTTCTGTACCACTGATTGGCGATGTGGGGCTTTAGTAACCGAAAACTTGCACTCTATTGGCTGACCAAAGTGCCAATTAAATGCTAACTCTTTCGTTTAGCATAGACAGTAGCGTTATTGTGCTCAGTAAATATCTTAGCCCTGAAATCGCCAGAAGAAATGCAAAAAAAAGTGACGGCTCACTTTTCCACGTTTGGAATACTTTGGAATACTTTCCGGCATAGAGGAACTAATTCATTTTGTGGACATATTTTCTTCACTGGATTATATTCTCTGGACCTGTACGGACCAAATGAGACCAACTTTCTGGGATATTGTGGATGTTTGACAGAATGAGAGCCCTCAAAAGGTAAGAACAGTCCAAATCCTTTGCACGTGCTTTTCTGTAAAACGGCTGTCTTGTCAGTGCTGTTGTGGTTACTGTGGAAAAATGATTTGGATATTCAAAAAGACGATACTCGTAGCTTTAATTTGATGTGTATATTGTTAGTGTGGACGACGGAGATTCATATGCAAATTGCTGTAGCGTTGTAAATTAAGGGCGACGGCCCGCCGGCGGCCGTCAGATCCTTATCAGGTTAACAGCCTTGAGTTTAAAGTGGGTGTTGTAAGCGTGTCTCTTGACAGGTGCATTTTGGGGTTAAAATTATATTTTGTATGCATAATATATTATAATATATATTTTGCTGTATGTAAATATCTGTTAAGTTCCGTGATCAATGTACAGAAGCAACCACATAATTTGTCATGAATCGGGGTGGGTTAGTATAATCGAGAAATGTGCTTTTCTGTTGTTTACAATGTATATGTAGTATATATGATTATTGTTTCTCTCTTGGCACAAACTCGAAATAAAAACAAATCAATGAATCAATCAAAATATTAAAAAGAATCACAGTATGTATTACTCCTGATGCTCCTGACTACGGGAGCCATAATGCTGCAAGTGGAGCGGCTTTGTAGTTTACTAAAGTCGTACTAAGACACCCCAATAAATTCATATATGAGGCGCTCTGGATTATAAAGCGTGCAGTCGTTTTTTGATGAAATTAAAGGCTTTTAAGTGCGCCCTATAGTGCAGAAAGTAGGGTAAATGGTTTAATCTATATTGTGGAACATTGTAGACAAAGCAATAAAATCTCCATGGAGACGACAAGCTCTACAAATGTTACACAGTGCACCTTGAGTTATCATTCAATTCATCCAATACATTTTTTGTGTGTGTTTTTTAAATGTACTAAAACCATGTATATCAGGAATTTACCTTTTTATTTGTATATGTTTGTGTATTTATTTATTTAGTTTTAATTATTGGATTCTTACAGTGCAGCCTGTGTATATGAGGGCCGGTATCCGTAACATTATTCATCACATTATGTTCATCTGATTCAGTGAGAACCTAAACCTGAGTTAAGAATGAAGCGTTTTCTCTCAATGAACCACTGCTTTGACTCTAGTCTATGTGCTCCCCCTGGTGGACTGTACGGGCAACTGCACTTGGAAATCAACATTTTACTGAGTTTCATCGCTGCAATTACAATTCTCCTTTCTAATTTTAACAGAGAAATTTGTTGAATGCAGTTTCACTATTGTAAATATTTATTATAGTTTTGCATCAGTTAAATTAAAATAAAAGGAAGTGCTGAGTTCTTTAACAAACTAAATCTACCTACGTATGTCATTATCCAAAATGCAGAGACAATTTTTGTGCAAGTGAGGTGTTTTTCTGCCAGTTTAACAAAATAAAGCTGTTATCTTTATATTCTTTATATTTAAATCTCCCTAATCATAACTATTGTCCAATTTAGATACGTTTTTGGCCCTTGTTTACATTACGGTTGCTGTTCTAAAAAGTGGTATTAACTACTTATGTCAGAGGTGGGACCAAGTCGTTTTCAAGTAAGTCTCAAGTCTTTGACCTCAACTCCGAGTCAAGTCCCAAGTCAAAGACAGGAAAGTCCAAGTCAAGTCCAAGTTGTCGGCTTTGAGCTTCAAGTTTTTAAACCAAAAAAGTATCAAATATCGCTTAGATTTTATATTTATATGACTTTTAAACTAAATCGTACTTGAAAAATCATGGTATATTTATATATGAGTATCTATATAAGTAGAAATGCATTTTTGTTTTGTTTTTAAATGTCTTGACAAAAGTGTAAATTATTAAGGTTAGAACAGAAAGAATTAAGATTTAAGAGTGTTAAATCACAGCTGTTTTGTCATGTATTTCTCTGTAGTTCCCTCTGTTTTACTGTAGTGTACTGTATTTTACTGTAGTACATTTGAGGATTCCACATCGCAGTACTTCGGTTACTGTTGCCATAGTAACAAACAGAGAAGTGGGAGGGACATGTTCCAGTGTGTTCCGTTAAAATTAAGCACAGCATGTATCAACTGTAAAAAGTATTTTCTAAAAACATATATATATATTCTTCTCAAGTCACAGGCCTCAAGTCCGAGTCAAGTCCCTGGTCATTGAGCTTCAAGTCCAAGTCGAGTCCCAAGTCTTAGTCCATTTTGTCAAGTCAAGTCTCAAGTCTGACTCGAGCCCAAGTCAAAACTCCTCGCACTTCCCCACCTCTGACTTCTGTCCTATTTGCTCATATTTGCAGCTCCTGTCCGAGCAGGAAGTTAAATTATAAACTTCACTAAAATTTTGAAAAAAAGCAGAAACTAGGGATTTTTTTTAACCTTAACAGTGTTTTAGTGAAATAAGCAGTTGAACCTGTCACATGCACTTTAAACGGATCTTTAAAGGGCTCATGTTTCGCTATTTTCTGATCTGTTATAATGTTTCCTCATCAAAAAACAAAACAAAAAAAACCTGGAGTTGTGTTTTGTTTTATTCACCCTCTTGTCTCAAACTGAAAACACACTGTTCCACCTTGTGATGTCATGCGTTCATGCAGGAGGTGCTCCATTGTGTTTTTGAACTCCACGCTTCCTCACTAGAATTATTTTGATGATTTTTTGCCAATGTCTGCTGAACAATAGATGAAAAGTAGCTCGAAAACTTCCACTTCATGACATCACAAGGTGGGACGGAGCATTTTGAGCTTTAGACACGTAGACAGACTGATAATAAAGACTCAAACATGTGTGAATGAAAAAAAACACAACTCCAGGTCTGTTTTTGAGGAGGTAAAAAGATTATAACATCTTAAAACTCACAGGAATCAACTTTGTGTAATATAGGAGCTTTAACAATGTTTTAGTAAAATGAAAAGTCTAACCCATCAGTGCACTTTAAACTGATATGTCATATTTAAGACAATGTTTGATTTTTGTTCTGTTTTTGTTCTCTAGGATCGAGCCACATTTCGGCGACTCATTGTCAAAAACAACGCCAAGAAGAGGAGGATGTACGAAACTTTTATAGAATCTGTTCCACTGCTCAAATCACTCGAGGTCAGACGCTGTTCAAGGAGAATTATGGCTCTTAGGTAACACGATACGACTTTAAACATTTCTCTGCGTGTGTGTCTTTAAGGCGAATGAGAGGATGAAGATCGTGGATGTATTAGGAGCAAAGCAGTTTTCCGACGGAGAGAGAATCATCACACAAGTAAGACCTGTTATTCTGTTTTTGGTTTTTTTTACAGTTTACATTACATTTTTACATTTGAAGAGAAGGCATTATGCAAAATCGACCTTTTGGAGCTTTCTGCCATGTTATAATGTTGTTCCCTCGTCAAAAACACGGTCACCCATACATTTGTTATGTATTAAAAGTGTACCGTATTTTCCGCACTATAGGGCGCTCTGGATTATAAAGTCATTGAATGGTCTATTTTCTAACTTTTTTCACATATAAACCGCACCTGACTATAAGGCGCATTAAAGGAAACACAACAGTTAGATAAGTTAGTCAAACTTTATTTAACGCATTCACAATAACTCTCAACTTTGTTTAGTTGTAACTCGTAAAAAAATACTGTCTGAGACGCTAAATTGTTGCTGTATTCACAATAACTCATAATTGTTCAAACAGTTGGGTGATTACGGCGTCCATCACGCCCACATCCCTCTCGTCATGATCCGAGTCAGTGTGGTTACTGTTCCCTGACAGTTCAGTGATGATTCTGGTCTTGGTGAAAGCTCGGACCACAGTTGATACTGATCTTTAGCCCGGGCGTCCACGATCTGTTGATCGTAGCGTAAGTGGCTCGGCGCTGTCTCTCTGTCTTGGTGAATGTGTGTTCTCCTTCTCTCATCCACTGCTCCCACGCAGCTCGCACTTTCACTTTATAACAGCCTTGAGTTTAAAGTGAGTGTTGTGAGCGTGTCTCTTGACAGGTGCATTTTGATATTAAAAGGAATCACAGTATGTTTTACTCCATGATAGGTTTGTCCCAATCCGATCACATGATCGAAAATCGGCACTGATCACGTGACTGCAGACTCGATCTGGACTCGGACGTTATGGTCCGGTCAGGTATCGGATAAATAATATACGTATGTAACACACAGGACACAACAGTTTTTCTGATGCGCGGGATTTGCTCAAGGACGTCCAGTTAATGCGACCGTCTCTCCTGCTCTACTAGAAGTGCACTAGCGCTGGGACTTTTGGGCTGTACTGTGTTCGGGCGCTGTTACCTGTGGTTCTGTGGCCCGTGTTCACACCTGTGCGGCCGATGGCGTCGTCACACGGCTCTATTTGTTGCAAACAAAACAAACAGCAGCAGAGCTGACGCTATTGGCGGAGAGGGTCCGTCCAGCGGCGTGGAGTGTTTATTGAGCGGTGGGACTGATGTTGAGACCGGTTTTCTTTAGTTAATTATATTCTTAGTTAGTCTCGATTTAGTCCTATTTTTAGATTTCTTTTTTTAATGCTACGTAGTCTTGTATTAATGCTGTGAAAGATCTGGTAAAATCCTGCTTCAGTTCTGGTTTTACTGGTAATTTAAAAGCATTTTGTGATATAATGTTCATCTAATCCATTTGTTTTTGTCTTTAGGGGGACAAAGCCGACTGCTTCTATATCGTAGAATCTGGAGAAGTCAGGATCATGATGAAGAGTAAAGTAAGAGAAAAACAAACATCACTGATACTTCAAATGCATCCAGTGACGATCTGTTATCAAAATCTTTAACAAATATGCAGTTTTTAAAGAGTCATAATCAAAGTAGAAAAGTAATGTTTCTAAGGAGATGGCTGCATGTTTACAACCATCACAACATCTAAAAAAAAATTAGAATATCAGGGGAAAGTTCAGTATTTTTGTCACTCATTTCAGGAAGTCAAACGCATATACTATATTGGCCACGTCTCATTTCTCTTTTCTCGCTTCCTTCTCGATTCTGCAGGAAATGGGTGAGGAAGTCCTACCCGCAGAGGAGAGAAAATAAACTCCTCACTGAGACCAATAAAGTTTGATTCTTTTATGTGACGTTTGCTTCCAGAAGCCTCCCTCATTTCGTGGTTTTCTTTGGGACGCCACTTAACATGACACCTTTGATTGACAGCTGAAAAATGAAGGATCGAGAAGATAAATTAAGGAGGAGGAAGCGAGGAAAGAGAATTGAGATGTTTCCCATTGACTCATGACACAGAGTGAAGCGTTGAAGCCTTTATTTCTTAACATTTTGATGATAATGGCTTATAGATGATGAAAACCCCAAAATTCTGTGTCTTGGAAAAGTAAAATAAGACATAAGACTTTTTTTTTAAGATGATTACAATTTTTTTTTTCCAGTTAAGCCTTTTCTTACATTTTTTTCCCAAAAGATAGCATTTTCAAAAGATCTTTACAAATACAAAGCTTGAGGAGGTGTATACAGAAACAAAAGAAGTTGTGGGTTGATTTGATGAAAAACAAAAACTAAAAAATATATAATAATGTGGTAACTCGTAAACTGTAATTGTTCTTCTCCAGTGAAAAGTCAATACAAATTTGAATTAAATAAAAACTGAACACATTGGACCATCTCTAGTATCTTTAAATAAATACTCCAAATTGTAAATCCTTGTTCTCTTGTCTCTTCCTCAGACGAAGGCAGACCACGCAGACAACGCAGAGGTGGAGATCGCCCGGTGCAGTAGGGGGCAGTATTTCGGAGAGCTGGCTCTGGTCACCAACAAACCCCGAGCAGCTTCAGCCTACGCAGAGGGAGACGTCAAGTGTCTAGGTAAGAGAGGAGACCGTTTCTTTTGGGTAACTGCTACGGTTAAAGGCGCACTATGTAGCTTTTTGGTTACGGGTCCGTCGCTTTCTTGTTTCTGTGGATATGTCACTGCTCTGCCTGGAATGTTCCACAGTGTGACATTAAACAGCTCTGTTTTACATTCATTCAATTACAGGTAAGGATGTAACAATATCCAAGACCCCGTTTACACTGAAACGAATCCAAGTATCACTGTAACGGAAATGATCTGCGTCCAGACTAGGGATGGGCATGATTAGTCGATTAATCGATAATTGATCATTAAGAATTTAATCGATTACGTTCATTTTAATCGACAAACTGAATGTAGGTTGCTGTGTGTATCGTGACCAAACAGGTGTGTACATGTGTCTCTGCATCAGAAGGAGCGAGACACAAACAGTGGGTCAGTCTGTAACGTACCGAAGCACAAATGTGTATTTAACGATGATTTGTACAAGAAATTCCACACTTTCCGTTGCGTTCGGGACAAGTGTGAGTCCATGTGCACAGTGTATAAAGCAGCACATATGTTTCTGTGTCCAGTGGGAAAAAGTTTTACCAGGTGAGAGTCGCTCAATGTCGATGACGAGTCCCCACCTCCCTCCCCCCGTACGGTGTCCTGGTTTTGACAAACACAAATCTGGTCACACTAACCTGTATTCCACTGAGTCATGTCTTTTAATCTGACAGAAGCTGAACCACATCAGCGACACAAGAGCTGTAGTTTTATCTTCGCTTAGTTTATGCAAATTAGCGATGTGGCTTTAAGTTTTGTTTCTGTGAGATTTGCACAAAACTGAATTAAACACATTATAATGTCAAACGGGCTGATGTGGCTCTAGAGTCGTTACGGTTTATATGTCGTAAAGTTGAATTTATTTCTGCAGATTAGTAGTGCAGATAGTAATAATAATGATGATCATTTGAATATAAAAATGTTCATGATTAATCGATAATCGATCGTTAATTCTTCTGACGATCGATTAAGAAAATTTCATTGAATGCCCGTCCCTAGTCCAGACACGTCGTTTCTGTTTAGCAATTCTTCCCTGTCCACACAGCTTTGAGCATATTTGTTTATGCTTTACAGAAACAAAACTTAAAACCGCATGGATAATTTGCATAAACTGAGCGTTCAAAAAACTGATCGCTATTGTGCACTGATGTGGTTCAGCTTCTGTCAGACTAAAGGACACGACTCACACTGATGGTGAGTCTGTTCTGTGCTTCTATCGCGTTGGAGATGATTCACGTCAAATTTCTCAGAGATTATTTGTCTGCAGGTCGTACGCATAGACCGTATATATGAATATATTCTAGCCTCTTAGTGCTTTGGCGGTGAATTACTTCGCGGTGCATAGACCTACATCAGCGTATCAACATTTTCAGGCGTCCACACAGTGCCAGATCAGATCTGTACTCAGATGAATTTGTGGGAGTTGGTGGCACCAGATCGTTCCATCTCTGGAGCCGTTTTCAGTCGGATTAGTGTGAACGAACACTGCATCCACAAAGAAAACCATTCAAATACGTACTAATGTAGACAGGGCCCAGATCTCACGGTATGATATTTATTGCAATTTATTTTGTGGAGGCTAACGAAATTGTGAATATGTTACTTTTTCCTCTTAAAATGCCTTGACAAGACTTAATCTAAAGAACTAAGAAAGTGCTAAAAGTGCTCAGAACTGTTATTTCTTCATGTAGTTTGCACCAAAATGGAGCAAAGGATCATGGTTGATGTAGTTCCCTATGTTTTTTTAGCTATCGCTGCACCATAACAATGAATTTAAGCAAAGAAACTTATAATTCGATATATTGTGATGGCCCAGGACACTCTTGACCAGGGGTGGGCAAACTTTTTGACTCGAGGGCCACAAAGGGTTTTAAAATTTGACGGAAGGGCCGGACCAGGAGCAGATGATGGAGTTTTTTTGGTAATCCACCTCATAAGAGAAAAAAATAACATGTGTAGCATATCCCTCTGAATGAAGACTTGACACTTGAACTGGCGATTTTTAGATTTAATGTCAATAAATTCTTCAAATCTGCCGTAAGAGCTGAAAGGAACACAAATACAATGTGTAAATAGACATTCACAAAACTTAACGCAAGTTTGATTAATATTTACATTAATCTGGACTACATCAATCAACAATGATAAAAAAACTAGAGACACAAAAAATTATTCAAAGAAATATTTACATCAAAAACATACCTTTGTGCCTCTTCAGAGGGAAAGCTAGACAAAAAACTTAGAAAAATACCAAAAATGGTATGTACACATTGGCTCCGCAACGTTTCTCCCCTTTCGTTGTCCAGGCAACCAGACAAACATCAACCCTTCAAAATAAAAGCGCCAAACACAAACGCACAAGTCAATGTTCAACAACAGAAAATGGTGCAACACAAAAAACAACCATAAAAAGTCACAAGAGATTTCAACAAGACAAATTATACTATAGGTTATTTACATGGGATATGTAGAAAATATCCCATGTTACTGAAATATCCCATAATTGAAAATCATTACAAAGCATTATAAAAAAATATCTGTCTTTCAGGTCCCACAATATTTACTATTTATTGAAATGACTATGAAAAACGCTGAATATTATCAAGTTCAGCGGGCCAGATTAAGAAGATTAAAGGGCCGCATATGGCCCCCGGGCCGTAGTTTGCCCACCCCTGCTCTTGACGATACATTATCACGATATTTTAGTTATTGTTACACCCCTAATTACGGGTTGTTTTATAGCTCAAACATACCTAGAAAAACGGGCTTTCTAACTGAACGGGGCTGCCTCTCCACAGATCCGACCTGTAACTTGGTCTGGTTTGGTCTCTGTGATGATGAGAAAGGTTTAATGCCATACTGTGCAACATTCCAGACAAAGCAATAACATCTCCACGGAGAAAAGCATTTGACGGACCCTCTACCAGAAAAGCTACACAGTGTACTTTTAAAGCTTGGGGGAGGGGCTGGTTCTCGTCACTGCGGCAGTTGTCATGGTAATGTCCGTCGTAATTATGTCTCTGTGGGGGTTTCGCAGAGTCGCACTAAAATCAATAAATACTGACAGAATGAGTGGACAGGGAGCCGTGGGTGGACGCTTCACAAACGAGGTTAATACTTGACTTTAGAAAGGCAGGTGTTTGTGTCTCTCTGCTCATCCTAACTTTTATTAAAACGTAAAATCAAAACAAACTACAAAGCTGAATTTATAGTAAAGACGAGCCAGTAATTTTCATGGGCACATTTCAGTTTGTAGTGTTTAATATTTATAGGCGAGTTAGAGCTGACGTCATTGTTGCATGCTGGGAAATATTTTGGTTGGAGGCAAGAAACACGATAGCGTCAAACACAGTGCGTAACCTCGCGTATTTATCCCCGATAATGGTAAATTCCTGCTGCATTATCGGATGCACAAATAGAAGCACGGAAGAAGGAAAATGTCTTTTTCGTATTCTGAGTGAAAAGAACCGCTAACGGTGAATTAAATGGCTTTCAAACATCCGCAGAGCAAACGTAGAAGATCCTAACAAACCGTGGACTCCAACAAGTTCAACAACACATCGAGACTCTTGGAGGTTTTCATCTTTTCTGCTGTGAATGGCCCAGGAGTTTCCACCAAGTCATTGTGGATATCGTCGAAGTGAATATGGCTACGTTCAGACTGCAGGGCTTAACGCTCAATTCCGATTTTTTTGTGAAATACGATGTTTTTGTGAGGTCGTTCACATTTCCAATTAAATGCGACTTGTCTGTGACTCCAGTGTGAACGGTAAACGGCCCGAAAGTGTCCCACATGTGACACTGGAGACACGACGACGTCAACCCCATGCGTCAACCGCAGTGAGCGTGCTCTGTGTTTACGGAAGTTGTCCAAACATGGACGCGAGCATTGAGCACCTGGCGATTTTACAGTTCCAGTTTCCGCCTGTTTCAGCGCAGAATAGTGACGTTTGTGGCTTGTTGATGACGTGTAGGTCGGATGAATGCGCTTTGGCCATTCAGACTGAAGTCGCATGTGAAAAGATCAGATATGTATCGGTTTCAGGAGCACATATCCAAGTGTCCTGGGTCACATTTGAAAAAATCGGATCTGTGTCGTTCAGACTGTCATTAAAAGATCAGATACAGGTCACATAGAAGCCAAAAAATCGGATTTGGGTCACTTCAGGCTGCAGTCTGAACGCAGCCTATTTGTCCAGGTAGTTGGCGATTCTGACCAGAAATTTGGTTTGGTCCACCTTTTGTCGGGGTTGAAAAGGGTGATTTGGCTCCGTCGATGCTTATGACCAATTTCTGGTCAAATGGTCTTGGGTCCTCTGCCGTTCGAGTGGATAAATAACCGGGATCAGTACCCTTTACGTGCTTTCTCACTCCGTCCGTCATGTTGAATTAGTGTTTACTGCCGCCGACCAAAATAATTCCCAGCATGCAACGCGCGCTTTTGTCAACAATGAAACTCGCCTATTGGGCTCCAAAATTAGCGCCAAGATTAGACCGAGACTGCGTCCTTGTCCATGCCCTTAGATACAAGGTAAACGTCAAATCTAATACAGCTTTTACTGATAACACTTGTGATGGTGATTTATTTTTAATTTGGAAAAACATTGGACACGGTGTCAGTCATGTGTATTTGTTATGATTTGACGTTACGGCTCTCAAAACGATTATCTGATCAGAAAGAAGAATGAGTCTGTCATTAGAGTCGCCGATTTTAGTGCTGAAATCCAGTTGGTTTAAACCTAAAATGACTCTTTCTTATCCAGGAGTCTCCAGTCTTTTTATTCCGGTGATCTGCCTTTACAAAACAAAAATGCCAGCAAGCTACTAGTTTCAGCGGTCACATGAAACCGAGAATTTAAAAGCCTCATCCTTTTATTAATGCACAAAGTTAGGCAACAAAATTATGTACGGTGGTAATGGGCATTTATTTAATCAATACAGTAATTCAGAAATCCCTTGGCGAGCTCCTCCTACCTAAACCCCAGCTCCCGCACCATAATGAGTCAGTGCTAGTGCGGCCTTTGCAGCTCAGGGAGGGAATTCTGGAGGCTCTGAGCTTTCACGTGAGGTCTGTCCAGATATTGAAAACTTGTATGTGTTTTGCAGATAAAAGCTCTGTCAACACAGGTTCAGTTGTGATTTGTAATGCCTTAAAAAAAAAAACTAAAAACAGAGCAGAACCAGGACTAAACCAGAGCTGAACCAGGTCTAAACCAGGTCTAAACCAGGTCTAAACCAGGTCTAAACCAGGACTGAACCAGGTCTAAACCAGGTCTAAACCAGGTCTAAACCAGGAAACTGAAACCAGGTCTAAACCAGGTCTAAACCAGGTCTAAACTGAAACCAGGTCTAAACCAGGTGAACCAGGTCTAAACCAGGTCTAAAGGTCTGAACCAGGACTAAACCAGGTCTAAACTAAACCAGGTCTAAACCAGGTCTAAACCAGGTCTAAACCAGGTCTAAACCAGGTCTAAACCAGGAAACTGAAACCAGGTCTAAACCAGGACTGAAACCAGGTGAAACCAGGTTTAAACCAGGTCTAAACCAGGTCTAAACCAGGTTTAAACCAGGACTGAACCAGGTCTAAACCAGGTCTAAACCAGGACTGAACCAGGTCTAAACCAGGTCTAAACTAGGTCTAAACCAGGACTAAAACAGAGCTGAACCAGGACTAAACTAGGGCTGAACCAGGTCTAAACCAGGGCTGAACTAGGGCTGAACCAGGTCTAAACCAGATCTAAACCAGGACTAAAACAGAGCTGAACCAGGACTAAACCAGAGCTGAACCAGGACTAAACCAGAGCTGAACTAGGACTAAACCAGGACTGAACCAGGTCTAAACCAGGACTAAAACAGAGCTGAACTAGGACTAAGCCAGAGCTGAACTAGGACTAAACCAGGTCTAAACCAGGTCTAAACCAGGACTAAAACAGAGCTGAACCAGGACTAAACCAGAGCTGAACCAGGACTAAACCAGAGCTGAACCAGGACTAAACCAGAGCTGAACCAGGACTAAACCAGGACTAAAACAGAGCAGAACCATGTCTAAACTAGGGCTGAACCAGGCCTAAACCAGGTCTAATCTTGGACTAGAACAAGTGGAGCACTTCTAAAAAAGGAAAAAGGACATTGGACAAATCCGAACGATATAACCTCAAATGTTTTTATGTTGTTCAGTTACATCTGCGACACACTTAAAAATAAATAACCCATAACGCCCCATTGTATTATTGTATAAACCGTATATTTCCCTGCGGTTTTTCTAGTACAAAGCTGTAAACCAGGTCATGATGATTACAGTGCTTGTGTGAAGGCCGTTTGTATTATTGCTGTAAGTGTCTTTTGTATTCACGCTCCGCTCTTCAGTTACGCTCCGAATGTGAACAGCTCTCCTCTAAATGTTAGCCACTCAAACACGCTGTATTCAAAACATCTTTATGCCACGCACACGCACGCACGCACACAAAAGCGCTTTCCACCGTTCCCAGAAAGACGGACGGATTACGAATAAAAGGCAGAAAATGGTCGTAAATGTTTTGTGTACTCAGAAGTGTGCGTGCGTGTATTTACATATGCGTTCAGATTATCAACAACAAACGTGGAAAAGACACAGGGGCTAAAAGAAGAAATTCAGAGTGAGATCGAGTTTTCAAGAGCCTCTATTGTGCTATTTTCTGATCTGTGTTTATAATGTTTCCCCATCAAAAACACACCTGGATTTGTGTTTTGTTTCATCCACATGTTTACCACACAAACCCTGAAACAGAAAACACTCTGTTCCACCTTGTGATGTCATGTGGTAATACAGAAGTGCTTTATTAAGAATACATCGATCCTATACCAGTATCAGATCTCTCATCCTAAAAAAATCAGCTTCCAAATATCGATTCAGCCGATATCCTGGTTTAACCTTTACCTATTGATGTAATGAGACAATTTACTGGTCGTATTCTGTGGTTAATTGAAAGATGAATAACAGCTATAACACATTTTGATCATTTTTGTTGTTATAGATATCTCTTTAAAGGTTTTACTGTATTTTCCGGTCATTAAATGGTCTATTTTCAAACTTTTTTCACAAATAAACCGTACCGGACTTTAAACGAAACACAACAGTTCGATGGCTCAGTCGGACTTTATTTGGCGCGTTCACGGTGACTCTGGGCTTTGTTCAGTTGTGGCGTGTAGGGAGGGTGCTGTCTGGGACCAACGGATTGTCGGCGTGTTCGCAGTGACTCAGTTGTTCAGTCGTGTCTAGAAGCGGCACATTGCGCTCGCTTTTTCGGTTTGTTCCTCCGTTCCGTTCCTCGTCGGCGTGGAGTGATGAGTGTGTCTGTGGGTGTGTTTCGCTGAGCGGTCGCTGTCTGCTCCGTGTGTGTTTGTGTGCGCTGTGGGTGGTGCGGCTTTGTAGTTTACTGAAGACGTGCTGTGACACCCGAGTGGATTTGTGTATCGGCCGCTCTGGATTGCGGGGAGCAATCGTTTTTTGATTGGGTTGGGGGCTTAAGAGCGCGTCTGTCCCTATGTTCAGACTGCAGCCTGAAGTGACCCAAATCCGATATTTTGGCCCCTATGCTCCTGTATCTGATCTTTTAATGAACGACACAGATCCAATTTTTTCAAATGTGACCCAGGACACTTGGATATGTGCTCCTGAAACTGATACATATCTGATCTTTTGACATGCGACTTTAGTCAGAACAGCCAAAGCGCATTCATTCGACCTACACGTTATCAACAAGCGACAAATGTCACTATTCTGCGCTGAAGTAGGCGAAAATTGTTAATGAACTCATGAAGCACACATCACCACTCACCACTCTTGGCTCCGTCTCCACATCCACACGTTCCTTTCAACGGACGTCGCTGCCGCTTCCCACAAAACACCACGACCAAAAACCTCGTCCTTCTCCTTCTCAATCTCCTCCTTAAAACAAGTAAGTTGTTCATGTTCTGGCTCCGGTACGAGAGGAACTTTAAAATCTCCAGGTGCTCGATGCTGCGTCCATGTTTGGACAACTTCCGTAAACACAGAGACGCTCGCTGCAGTTGACGTCGTCGTGTCTCCAGTGCACATGTGGGACACTTTTGGGCTGTTTAATGTTCACACTGGAGTCACATACAAGTTGCATTTAATTGGAAATGTGAACGACCTCGCAAAAACATCGGATTTCACAAAAAAATCGGAATTGAGCGTTAAGCCCTGCAGTCTGAACGTAGCAGACTGAAAATACGGTATATTGGACAAAATGAACTCCTGTGAGCTTTAAGGTTATGCTACCTCAATAAAAACATGCTGAGTTGTGTTTTGTTTCATTTACACATGTTTGAGTAACTTTGTTATTAGTCTGTCTACATTTCCAAAGCTCAAAATGCGCTGTTCCACCTTGTGATGTCATGAAGCAGTAGTGTACAAAGTTTTTCTGTAGTTGCTTGAGATATAAATAACAGCTCTAACACATTTAGATTATTTTTGTTTCATGGAAATGGTGTTTTCGGTCTCAGATGTTTAAAGCTATAGTTTCAAAAATTGGTATCGGAACAAAAACAGCTGGATGGATACAAATGCAAGTAAAAACACGCTCTTATCTTTCATTTTGTTTGTCTTTTTCTTTGCAGTAATCGACGTGCAGGCGTTCGAGCGTCTGCTGGGCTCCTGTAAAGAGATCATGAAGAGGAACATCGCGCACTACGAGGAGCAGCTGGTGGCGCTCTTCGGCTCCAGTATGGACCTGAGGGACTGAGGTGTCCACTGCCCACGTGCCTTCGAACCACACACACACACACACACACACACACACACACGACAAACACACACAGAATCAAACACACACACTCACATACACGGACACACAACTCCCCCACCACCTCAGAACAAGACTTTAAACCAGCGATTCTCAAACTCTGAATGAACCACTGAGAAAAACGTCGAGTGGAACTGACTAAAACTAAATTAATTTGTATTTATCTAGAACCCTTAAACGCTCATATTACGCTGTTTTCTAATCTGTTATAATGTTGTTTCCTCATCACAAACAGACCTGGAGTTGTGTTTTGTTTCAGTCACACAAATCCTGCGTGTTTAGTTCTCCAAAAAAAAACGCTCTGTTCCACCTTGTGATGTCACGCGGTAATACAGGAAGGGCTCTACTGTTTTTTAAACTCCACACACCTTCACTAGAATCGTTTGGATGATTTCAGCTCTGGAATCTCTGCTGAACTAAAGATAAAAAAGGGTAGCTGTTAACGTGAGGTCACGAGGCGGAACAGAGCGTTTTGAGCTTTGGAGATGTAGACAGACTAATCATAAAGAATTCCTCAAACACTTGTGAGTGAAAACGTGACTCCAGGTTTGGTTTTGGTGAGGAAATAACATTATAACATGGCTTACACGTAACAAGAATCCATTTTGTGTGATATAGGACTTTAAAACAACTTTGAACCAGGATTGAATCAAAGAAAAAACAGGTCTGGATCAAGTCTCAGTCAAATCTGTGTAAAGACTGAATCATGATTAATCAAGACTGGACTAAACCAGCTTTAATCCAGGTCAGATCATGTAATTAGAATGTCCTGAATGGATCATGTACCTAAAATGTCCAATTTCCACACAATAGGCTCTAGTCAGGCTTACGTCACAAACCGGGAAGACGTTTGGAAACATGCGACGACGACGACGACTTCCGGTGTACTTCCCGACACTGTCCTCGCCTACGACTGTGATAAAACTAAATAAAATAAATGTGACCAGAGGGAAAATAAAGACTGTGTACGTACGTGCTGTTTGGAATCATCTTGAATTTGGCGCCTCATCTCTTCTAATCGCATGTACCCAGAGTTGTGCGTCAGTGGGGAAATCATAAAAACTGATTTATGGCTGTAATTGTTGATTCGCCGAACGCTACAATGGCATGGAGATGAAGAAAACTGGACCATTTTCTAATTTTTCCTAGATTTTATCAAACTTACCAACGCCGAAAGCTGCCATCGCATGTCTCCAAACGTCTCCCTGCTTTGTGACGTTACCGCAACAATAATCTAACCTTTTAAAGCCGCGCTGTGTAACTTTTCTCTGTAGATGAGTCGTGGCTTTTAGTGGAATATCCCAAAGTGTGGCGTTAAACTTGCCCGTCTTGCGTTTGTTCCACTCTCAGCGTTTTTTAAATCCCTCGAAAAGCACGCGTTCCGATTGAGAGCGGGGTCGCCTCTCCGCAGACCTGACCCGTAACTTGGCCTCACGGCGTCCCCGAAGTTCTCTAAATGAGGATAGACATATTTAAGAAGCAGACGAACAGACCCTACACCGGAAAAGTTACGTAGCGCGGCCTTTAAAATAATGATCGTAAAGGTGCAGTTCTCCGACGTGCCACCAGTGGGAGCCGTACCACAGTTTGAGAACCGCTGCTTTACCTCGATACAGTATATTCTCCACTGACACTCCAGAACATATCCTGTATTTAAAGATCGGGACAGTGTGAGAGACTCGTCGCGTTTGTGGAATATCGTTGCAGTGCCGCCAAACGTCCACTAGGGGGCGGCTGTCGGCACGTTTCTGCAAATGAATTACGGTCGAGTCCAGATTTTAAATGCGGTTTTCAGGCTGTTCCAATAAAAACGTGTTAATACAGTTTCCAGATGTGGATGTTTGTCTTGAAAACTGGCTTTCGTTTGAACTTTGAACATTGAACATTGAACTTGATATATTCTGACAGCTAGAATATACACATTGTTGGTCAATTTTCAAAAACAAGGCGCAGTGTTTGTTTAAATCACAGTTTTTTTTTTAAATTTTGTTTTACCCTCAACATGCACAATAAACAGGGCTATTTCTTAGACGGGAGTAGGAGAGAGGAGTTTTTAAATACAGCATATGACCAAGGCGAAGACGACGATGTTTACAGATATTTCGCGAACTTTTTTTGAGCTAGAATACGCAGTAACAATTTGCGTTTTAACAGATTTCTAAACAATGCTAAACAAAAAAATCCACAGGTGTATTTAGTGAAAGAGCCGCTATTTTTCTGATCGGTTACGATGATGTTTCCTCGTCAAAAACAGACCTGGAGTTGCGTTTTTGTTTCATTCACGCATGTTTTAACGCACAAACCAGCTTCTCTCAAACGGAAAACGCCCTGTTCCACTTTGTGATGTCATGCAGTAATAAATAAAAACTTTCCATACGCCTGTACTAGAATTATTTGGATGATTTCAGCGCTGGAATTGAAACAGAAGGACACGACATGACATCACAAGGTGGAACAGAGCGTTTTGATCTTTGGAAACGTAGACGGACTAACCATAAAATGTTACTCAAACATGTGCGAATGAAACAAAACACAACTCCAGGTCTGTTTTTGACGGAGAACAGCGTTAAAACACGACTTAAAGCTCACAAGAGTCGACTTTGTGTAATATTGAAATTGCAACCAAAAGTGAAAATATCTGTACACACGTTTAGAGGCTCCGTGTATCGTTTGTTCTTTTGGATTTCAATTAAGAACGAAAAACAATAAAATGGGAATACAGTTTGTTATTTCATTATTCCGTTTTAGTGTCAAACAAAAAACAGATTTTGACGTCCATTTCCAATATTTAATTTAAAGTTTATTTCAAATGACACCAAAATTTAGTTTGTCGACTGGACAACTTGTAAGTAAGTAAGTCTTTGCTTATATATCGCTTTTCACAGACATTTTTTGTCTCAAAGACGCTTCTTCAGCTCTGGTCAGACGCTGGTGACACTTCCTTATATCTGTCTGCAGGGAGGAGCTGACTACACTGAAACTACTCTGAAACTAACACACCTACTTGTTTACAGTTTTTGTTAGTTTGTTAGGCCTAACTAACAAAAACTGTAAACAAGGTACAGAGTGAATGAATAATGCTGAATAATGCTCTGTAAAGCGTCTTTGTGACAAAAAATGTCTGTGAAAAGCCCTATATAAATAAAGACATTACATTACTTAGTCACTTACAAGTTGTCCAGTCGACAAACTAAATTTTCTCCTCGATTGGTGTCAAACAAAAAACAGATTTCAATGTCCATTTCCAATATTTAAATTAAAGTTTATTTCAAATGACACCGATCGAGGAGAAAATTTAGTTTGTTGACTGGACAACTTGTAAGTAAGTCTTTATTTATATAGGGCTTTTCACAGACATTTTTTGTCACAAAGACGCTTTACAGAGCATTATTCAGCATTATTCATTCACTCTATACCTTGTTTACAGTTTTTGTTAGTTAGGCCTAACAAACAAACTAACAGAAACTGTAAACAAGTAGGTGTGTTAGTTTCAGAGTAGTTTCAGTGTAGTCAGCTCCTCCCTGCAGACAGATAAAAGGAAGTGTCCACCAGCGTCTGACCAGAACTGAAGAAGCAGTTTAGACGAGCTGCGAAACGTCTTCAACCAAACTAACTTTTGTCCAGTCGATAAACTGAATTTCCTCCTCGTCGTGGATTCTCCCAGGACGACTGAGGGATTCTTCACAAATAACACCAATCAAAAAACATTCTCAGTGCCAATTTCAACTTTGATATTTTCATTCACTCTGGTTTATTTGCATCTGAAGTTCTGCTTTTACAACGACTCACCTGAAAAATCAGTTGCAGTTTTGTTCACAAACACGTCATCGTCTTTTACAGCGACGCGTTTACTTTCACATCTCACAAAAGACGAGAAACAGGAAGCAGCGGTAAACTTTGTTCAGTTCACACCATAGATAAAAATAGTTGTTGTTTTTTTTTTTTTTTTTTAGAGACACTGAATTCACACTCGACGCGCTAAGAAGCAGAACTTCAGGGGCAGAGAGAATAAAAGAAAATCAGAAAATTAAAATAGGCACCAAGACCTGAAATAAACTTGAATTAAACTTTAAATTAAATATTGGAAATGGATGCTGAAATCTGTTTTTTTTTTTTTTTTTTTTGACGCTAAAACAGAAGAATGAAATAACAAACTGCTTTCTCGATTTATTGTTTTTTGTTCTTAAGTGAAAGTCAAAAGAACAAACGGTACACGGATCTTAGAGGTTTAGTTTGTCTTTTTGTCAAACTTACACCCGAACACTCCGACACTCAGAACAGCTCAGCCAAGGACACACACACACACACACACACATTATATATATATTAAAATACATGTACACTGGCCACCTGCAAAAACTGACCCAGCTTAGTCCTGTTGTAAGTCCAGACTGGATTCAGAGGCAAGATTTAAACCAAAACTCACCAAAAATATCCTCCGTTATGAATATTAACTTTGAAATGTGCTAAATATCTATGAATTTAAAGTGAATATGACTAATTAAATATAGTTAACATCATTAGATTTAAAAAAAAAAAAAAAAAAAAAAAAAGCGCTCTGTAACTTTTCGTTTTGAGGGTCCGTCGCCTGCTTGTTTCCGTGGAGACGTTATTGATCTGCCTGGAATGTTCCACGGTGTGACATTAAGCAGCTCTACGTTACGTTTATTCAATTACAGGTGGTTTTATGGCTCAAAAATACCAAGAAAAACAAACCTCTCCGCAGATCTGACCTGTAACTTGGTCTGGGTTTGGTCTCCGTGAAGACAGAAAGGTTTAATGCCGTACTGTGGAACATTCCAGACAAAGCGACGACAGTTCCGTGGAGAAAAATATTAGACGGACCCTCCAGCAGAAAAGTTACACAGTGCATCTTTAAGATTAAAAAATAAAATAAAATAAAATAAAAAAAATGCGTAGTCTTTTCTAGTTTTCTAATTTTGAAGAAGTTTATCATTTTTTGCGGCATATATAGAGCCGTTACCTAGCAACCATAACGTCAAGAAGCCCCAAAAATCGTCTAAATTACACAATAGTTATGATTTGATGAATAAAAATAAATTGCGTTACCTTGATTTTTTTAAAATTAATGTTTAAACTTTCAGAAATTGCCCTCAAATTACAAATTAAATTATATATATAAAAAAAAAAAACGTTTCTCGTGGTTTGAATCTTGTCTCGTAAAAAAGTGTAATCTAGTCTCCGCTACAACATTACTCAAAATGGAGCAAACAAAGAGGTAAAATAACAAAAAAAAACTTAAAGAGATGTTTTAGAAACGTTTTATGAAGATTAAAGTACAAATAAAATCCAAAAAAAGCTTTGATAAAATATTATTTAAATAAAAGTGTTTCCTGGAGGCTGTTTCTTCCTCTTCTGTCGTCGATTGAGTTAGTGCTGGTGAATCTCGTACCACACTTCACTGTATTCAAATTATTATTAATGTATTGTTCAGATATTATATTCATTTGTTTATTTTTGTTTATTTTCTGTTTTTTTCTTTGTCGAGAGAGGTGCCACCGACATCTCCGACGAAGTGTAAGATCTAATGAACTTAGTGATACTTTCTCCTTGATTCTCCTCAAATGAGTTTGTCCTGGATTTAAAATAAAAAAAATAAAGCTGACATTTTCTTATAAACTTGTGGGAGTCTGATGTTTTTATTTACAGTTTTAAGGGCACTTTGTTAGTAGTTGGCAGTATTCCTCCAGCTTCTTAAAAAATATAATATAATGAAAATATAACGACGACATATATATAAAAATAAAACAATATAATACAAAATTGTGGGACTTGTGTAAAATTTTATGCAGTGATATGACTTAATATAATAATGGGTAAATACTGTATCTGTGGCATTATTTACAAGAGGGTTAGGGTAAGAAATTGCACCTTTCACCTTAGCAGTACTTTTCTAGTCTCATGCTTTTACTCCTACTTGAATAGTATTTTTATTTTAGTAGCAGAAGGATCATCTCTGCTGTTCTCACATGATGTTGTCCTGTTGGCTTCATCAGACCAGAACCTGCAGCACTGGGGCGGTTTGCAGCCGAGTGTGAAGCAGCTGGGATAAAGATCAGCTCTTCCAAGTCCGAGGCCATGGTTCTCGACTGGAAAAACGTGGTTTGCCCTGGAGGGTGGGTGGAGAGTCCCTGCCTCAAGTGGAGGAGTTCAAGTATCTCAGGGTCTTGTTCACGAGTGAGGGGAGGATGGAACGTGAGATTGACAGGTGGATCGGTGCAGCTTCGGCAATGATGCGGTCGCTGTATCGGACCGTTGTGGTGAAGAGGGAGATGAGTCGAAAGGCGAAGCTCTAGATCTACCGTCAGTCTTCGTTCCTACTCTCACCTATGGTCATGAGCTCTGGGTAGTGACCGAAAGAACGAGATCCCAAGATAAAAGTGCTCGAAATGAGTTTCCTCCGCAGGGTGTCTGGGCGCTCCCTTAGAGATAGGGTGAGGAGCTCAGTCACACGGGAGGAGCTCGGAGTAGAGCCGCTGCTCCTCCATGTCGAGAGGAGCCAGTTGAGGTGGCTCGGGCATCTGTTCCGGATGCCTCCTGGAGGCATGTTCCACCGGCAGGAGGCCCCGGGGAAGACTCAGGACACACTTTGAGGGACTATGTCTCTCGTTTGGCCTGGGAACACCTCGGGGTTCCCCTGGAGGAGCTGGAGGACGTGCCCAGGGTCAAGGAAGTCTGGGAGTCCCTGCTTAGACTGCTGCCCCGCGACCCGGCCCCAGATAAGTGGAAGAAAATGGATGGTTTGTAGTAGCAGTACTATTACTTGAGTAAATGTTTTGGTGACTTAACAGTGTGAGTCGAGAAAATACCAGATTTGTGTAAAATTTTATGTTTCACTTTCTAACTGCAATCATTTTAAACTGTAACTAAGATGTAGTGTCCTGACTGTTTTACTTTTTCTTAGGTTTTTTCTCCCTACACAAGTCCCTCTGTAATTTCTACTTTAATAATAATAATAATAATGGATCAGTTTTATGTTGCTCTTTTCTGGACACTCAAAGACACTCTACAGTCAGTGTTGGGGAGTAACAGATTACATGTACTGGAGTTACGTAATCAGAGTACAAATGATGAGTAACTGTATTCAGATACAGTTACTGTTTCAGTGAGTGGTAATTGGATTACAGTTACTTTGTTAAAATAAATGGATTATATGGCGGTATGTTCCTGTTTTCACATTTTGGGCTAAACCAGGTCTAAAAGCAGGACCAAAACCAGGACTAAAACCAGGACTAATCCAGGACTAAACCAAGACGAAACCAGGACTAAACCAGAACTGAACCAGGACTAAACCAGGTCTAAAAGCAGGACCAAAACCAGGACAAAAAACAGGACTAAACCAGGTGTAAATAATATGACACATAACAGTAAGATGGACATAAGTGAAGGCAGCAGTGATCTCAATAGAAAGCATTTCTCTATCAATAATATTTTTAATCTGCTTAAGTGAAGTCTGGTCTTTTTATTTTCTTTTAGCAGATAAAACAACTTATGTTAAGATTTCCTAGTCTTTGCTTCTCTACAACAAACAAAAGTCTGTTCATGGAGACTTGGGCTCAACAGACAATTTGAAGAAAACAAACATGAATTTTCAGGATGTGGTTGGTACATTCATGTAGTTTTAAAAAGCACGACAATATCAAGTAATCCAAAGTATTCAGATTATGTTACTCACGTTAAGTAATTTAATGGATTATGTTACAAACTACATTTTAGGGTAAGTGATCTGTAATCTATAGGGAAATTTTAAAAGTAACACTCCCAACACTGTCTACAGAGCATTATGACAAGTACAAATCTTGCTTAGCTTTTGACATGACTTGGTGCTTCTACTTAAGTAATTTTATTTTTAAGTAACGTTACTCTTACTTGAGTAAATTTTTTGGCTACTTTATTGGTAAAATTCTATTTTTACCAGTAAATTTCTGTATTGAGTGACCATAACTTTAGAACATATTTTCCTCCGCAGCACATAAACTATAGCAGTAAAGAATTAAAGTGAAACCTGTTGTAAAGGTAAATAAATAAATAAATAAAACAGGAATTCAAGTTTTATTTTTATTTTATTAATTATTTTGTGTAAATAGTGAAGCTGCAGTTCCGCTCCGCTCCAGCAGGCGTCCCTCCCGGCTCCGCGCACTTCCGGCTGCCCGTCACAGGTGCCGCTGTCACTCTGTTGCTCGGGTCGATTAAACGAACAGATCCGCGGGTTTGTTCGTGGAGGATGCGCAGGTTTTGCACTTTTTCCCTGCACTTTTAGGGAATAAACTGGCGCGATACATCACCGACTGAGACTGGGACACACGGAGGAAGCGCGGGATCCATGTTTTATAACGTGAGTAACGAGAAAAGCAGAAGAGAAGTGAGTGATTCTGCAGAAAACTTGAAGGAGCAGTGAAGTTCGGTCCATTCAGAGAAGCACAGGATAGAAAAAAATGTTTAACCGTGATAAACATGGACCGAAATGGACGCATAGTTTGCTGAGTAACTTTATTCTCCAAAAAAAAAAAAAAAAAAAAATGTCCATCTTCTGAAATGTGTCTTGTAAATATGTCTTCGTCTCTAATTCTGAGTTGTGTTTGGTTCTTACTGGGCTACAATATTTTTCTATAATTTGGGAGACCAGCAGTGTTGGGAGTGTTACTTTTAAAATGTAATCCCCTACAGATTACAGATTACATACACCAAAATGTAGTTTGTAACGTAATCCATTAAATTACTTAAAGTGAGTAATGTAATCTGAATACTTTGGATTACTTGGTTTGCTGTAGAGAAGCAAAGACGAGGAAATCTTCACATAAGATGTTTTGTCTGCTAAAAGAAAATGAAAAGGCAGAGTTTTAAAAAATATTATTGATAGAAGAGGAGGAGACACGGTCCACGCAGCATGATTTAGTCCTGTTATATCCTGGTTTAGACCTGGTTTAGTCCTGTAGACCTGGTTTAGTCCTGGTTTAGTTCTGTTATATCCTGGTTTAGACCTGCCTGGTTTAGTCCTGGTTTAGTCCTGTTATATATCCTGGTTTAGACCTGGTTTAGTCCTGTTTAGATCCTGGTTTAGTCCTGGTTTAGACCTGGTTTAGTCCTGGTTTAGTCCTGGTTTAGTGTCCTGGTTTTAGTCCTGGTTTCCTGGTTTAGACCTGGTTTAGACCTGGTTTTTCCTGGTTTAGTCCTGGTTTAGTCCTGGTTTAGACCTGGTTTAGACCTGGGTTTAGACCTGGGTTTAGACCTGGGTTAGTCTTGGTTTTAGTCCTGGTTTAGACCTGGGTTTAGACCTGGTTTAGACCTGGGTTAGTCTTGGTTTTAGTCCTGGTTTAGACCTGGGTTTAGACCTGCCTGGTTTAGACCTGGTTTAGACCTGGGTTTAGACCTGGTTTTAGTCCTGGTTTAGTCCTGGTTTAGTCCTGGTTTTAGTCCTGGTTTAGACCTGGGTTAGTCCTGGTTTTAGTCCTGGTTTTAGTCCTGGTTTAGTCCTGGTTTAGACCTGGGTTTAGACCTGGGTTTTAGTCCTGGTTTAGTCCTGGTTTTAGTCCTGGTTTTAGACCTGGTTTAGTCCTGGTTTTAGTCCTGGTTTAGACCTGGTTTAGTCCTGGTTTTAGTCCTGGTTTAGACCTGGTTTAGACCTTTTAGACCTGGGTTAGACCTGGTTTTAGTCCTGGTTTAGTGGTTTAGTCCTGGTTTAGACCTGGTTTAGTGGTTTAGACCTGGGTTTAGACCTGGTTTAGACCTGGTTTTAGTCCTGGGTTTAGACCTGGTTTAGACCTGGGTTTAGACCTGGTTTTAGTCCTGGTTTAGACCTGGGTTTAGACCTGGGTTTAGACCTGGTTTAGACCTTTTCCTGGTTTAGACCTGGGTTTAGACCTGGTTTAGTCCTGGTTTAGACCTGGTTTAGACCTGGGTTAGACCTGGGTTAGTCCTGGTTTAGACCTGGGTTAGACCCCTGGTTTGTTAGACCTGGTTTTAGACCTGGTTTAGTCCTGGGTTTAGACCTGGGTTTAGACCTGGGTTTAGTGTCTGGCAATAAATGGAATTACTGAGAAAAAAAATTATATATATATAATTATAGCCCCAAATGTGAAAACGAGAACATACCTCTGTGTAATCCATTTATTTCAACAAAGTAACTGTAATCCAATTACCACTCACTGAAACAGTAACTGTAACTGAATACAGTTACTCATAATTTGTACTCTGATTACATAACTCCGGTACATGTAATCTGTTACTCCACAACACTGGAGACCAGACCTTCCTACTTCCTCGGGACAGTCCCCAGCAGATTTATCCCAAACCAGTGATTTGTCTCAGTTTTAAATAAGAAATGTCCCTGGTGCAGAGGTGGGACCAAGTCGTTGTTTTGAAAGGCTCAAGTCTTTGACCTCAAGTCCGAGCCAAGTCCCAAGTCAAATATAGGGAAGTCCAAGTCGAGTCTTGAGTCACTGGCCCATAAGTCCAAGTCAAGTCCAAGTCGTCTGCTTTGAGATTCAAGTCATTTCAAGTCATTAAACCAAAGAACCAAATATAGATTAGATTTTTGCAATTTATTTAACTCTTAAACTAAATTGTACATACAGTAAATGGTATGTGAGTATTTATATAAGTATATATATGTTGTCGAAATGCAAATTTTTCCTTTTTAAATGTTTTGACAAGAGTGCAAATTATTACAGTCAGAATAGAAAGAATTAAGATTTAAGAATGCTAATAAGTTATTTTATCAAGTAGTCTGCACTGAAATGGAAGGATCATGTTACTGTAGTACATTTGAGGATACTACAACACAGTACTTCAGTTCCATTCAAAGTAACAAGTGGGAGGGACATGTTCCAGTTTGTTCCTGTAAAATTCAGCACCACATGTATCAAATGTAAAGAGAAACGTATTTTATAAAACATATTTTTTACGAGAAGCATCAAGTCTGCTCAAGTCCAAGTCAAGTCCCAAGTCCTTAGTCCATTTTATCAAGCCAAGATTCAAGTCCTAAAAATAGTGACTCAAGTCCAAGTCACAACTCCTCACAAGTCCCCACCTCTGCCCTGGTGCCCCTATTTTTGACCAATTTGAAACCTGCCAACAGTAAATAGAAGCATAAATTGTAATTTGTTAAGTAAAATACGAAAAATCAGTTTCAAAACGACGAAAACATCAAAGAAAATATGACTATACTGACTCACATGTTAGTCATGAATGGTCTCTGCGTAACAATTTTCCTTAATTCTGCACTCGTTTCACAATTTTATTATCATCAGGCACTAAAAAACCAAGGATGTCCCTGTTTTTTATTTTGAAATTCTGGTCACTCTAGGCAAGGTCCTTCAGTTTGCCACTTTCATTGTGTTAAAGTGAAGCTAAAGAAATGATCTAGAGGAGCACTAAAATACTAAATTCTGTTATGTTTTATTATTCCTGCAGGACAAAACCCACAACTACCATGAGCTCCATTGACCCTCCCTCCACAACATCCGCCCAAACTCAACCCAAGCTCCGTGCGGTCCCCATCCACCAGCGCTGGGACCTTCTGGTGCCGTGTGCCGACTTGGTGAACTCCGAGTGGAAGCGCAGTACAGCCGCCCGCGTCCACAGTTTACAGAAATCCTGCTCAGAATTCCCAGTTTGCCTCGTTCTCCTTCAGGGCGAGAAGGCGTGCGAGAAAATCCTCGGGCACTCCAGACTGTCCCTCGTGGTCGGCAAAAGCAGCAGTCTGTTTGTGGAGTCGGTGGTCGTGGCCAAAACGGAGAGAGGGAAAGGCTACGGGCGAGCGCTGATGGAAGAAACGGAAAAATACGCGAAGAAGAGAGGGTTCAAGCGGCTTTATTTAACCACTCACGACAAGCAGCATTTCTATAAACGCATGGGGTTCGTTCTGTCCGCGCCGGTTCAAAACGCAGGTGCTATGACCGCTTTCGTTCCCATGGAGACTATCCTGAAATTTTCACCTCGGCAACCGCTGAATGCGACGGAAAATCTGCCGGAAAAAACGCAAATATGCGAAGATGCCGGCGCAAAACGTCAAAACTTGCCCCCTCCGCCGCCACCGCTTCCTGTCTCGAATGTCCCGCCTCCACCTCCGCTTCCTGTCTCGAATGGTCCTCCTCCGCTTCCTGTCTCGAATGTCCCGCCTCCACCTCCGCTTCCTGTTTCGAATGTCCCGCCTCCACCTCCGCTTCCTGTCTCGAATGTCCCGCCTCCACCTCCGCTTCCTGTCTCGAATGTCCCGCCTCCACCTCCGCTTCCTGTCTCGAATGGTCCTCCTCTGCTTCCTGTCTTGAATGTCCCGCCTCCACCTCCACTTCCTGTCTCGAATGTCCCGCCGCCTCCTCCGCTTCCCGGTTCCCCGCCAAACCCGCCGTCTTGCCCCGTTCCTCCTCCTCCTCCTCATCCGCCCAAGTCCGTGGTCCAGACCCTGACTGAAACGCCTTACAGAGACATCAGAGGACGGCCCGTCTTTTGGATGCACAAAGACATTTAGTATTTGGTATTTATTTTTGTAGTTTTATCACAATCTTCCATTATGTTTACACTATTACCTATTTACACTACCGATCAAAAGTTTTAGAACATCCTCATTTTTCGAGTTATTTATTGCAATTAAAGTCGTGCAAGTCCAATGAAGAGTTTGAAATGGTACAAAGGTAAAAACTGAACAGCCAGAGGTTAAAAAAAAGATAAAAGATGCAAAACACAAGTCCAAGCTCTGCCAGAACTACCTCAGGAAAAAAGAACAAGATGATAAAGCTTGAAAACACGGACTGTCCAGCACAGTGTCCAGACTTAAACCCCGTCGAGCTGGTTTTGGGATGAACTGGACAGAAGAGTGAAAAAGAAGCAACCTACAAGTGCCACACATTTATGGGAACTTCTGCAACAGACTTGGGAAGAACTTTGGAAAAATATTTGATTTCTATTGTAAAAAAAACGAGCCGCGAGTGTGTTCAGCTGTTATATCTGCCAAAGGTGGACACTTTGATGAATCAAAACTTTAGAATACGTTTTGATCAACAGTAAACAGTAAAAAAATGGTAAAAGTGTGGTGTTATAAAACTTTTGACCGGTAGTGTATCTCACCATATTACATGAAAAAATACATTTAATCTTTTCAAATCCGTGTATCATTCGTTCATTCGTTTTTCAATATAAAACCATGAATAAGAAAACGATAAAACAACCGCCACAAACGGATAACAGCCGTTTCCCGTTTATGTGACTTCTGTGACTGCGATGCCGGATTTTTGCACCGTGTACGGACTGATCCAGGTCCGGGACCAGAGTGGGACCAGGGCGAACTCTGAGCTTTGACTCCGAGCCTCGGCTTCGAGCTCCAGCCCTGCGCCTCCGGTCTGGTCCCGGCCTGGTCTCGTCCTGGTTTCAGTTCTGATCTCAGTCCCGGCCTGGTCTCGTCCTGGTTTCAGTTCTGATCTCAGTCCCGGGCTGGTCTCGGTCTGGTCTCGGTCTGGTCTCAGTCTCACTCTGGTCCCAGTCTGGTCCCGGACCTGGATCAGTCCTGGTTCAGTCCGTATGCCGTGCAAAAGTCGGCATCGCAGTCAGGGAAGTCACGTAAGCGGGAAACGGCCGTTATTTGCTTTTTTCCATTCTTCATTTAAACACAAAATCGAAAACCGAGAAAACAAATCATTATCTGTTTTTTCATTTTGGTTTTGGAGACAAATAAGAAAATTGTAGTTTTTTCGTTTTCTTATTTTTGGTTTTATATTGAAAAACGGATGAACAAATGATGCGTGGATTTTTTCACAATACAGTATTCATCAGTCTGTTGACAGGAAGTGTAGAGCAGGGGTCTCCAACCTGCAGCTCGCCAAGGGATTTCATGACTATATAACTGTGCTGAATTACAAAAATGTGGTTAAGTACATGCCTATTACTACTGTACATGTATCATTTAGAAGCCCAACTTTGCGCACTAATAAATCTACAATGGTTTATGTTTTATGGGCGTCTAACTGTATCCAAAGACTCGCCCTGTCTCTCTCTCTCGCATTTTTGTTTTGTAAAGGAGCTCACTGGAGGAAAAAGGTTGGAGACCCCCGATCTAGACTGTCTAAAGAAATGGACTAACGGTTAATGTGAAGATTTTAAGACCAAAATGACAAGGCTCACTGACAGTTTTTCAATGTAAAGTCCATAAGCTCTGTTCACGTTTACCATATTTTTCGGAGTATAAGTCGCATCAGCCAAAAAATGCGTAACGAAGAAGAAAAAAAAACGTAAGTTGCACTTTTTGGGGGAAATTTATTTTATAAAATCAGAGACCAGGAACCGACATTTCATCTTGAAAGTCAATTTATAGTAATAACAACAGAACAGAGAACAACAGACTGTTAACGTCACATGTGAACAGTTCTTCAGATTAAACTACAGCATAAACAACAGAACAATTTACCAAACTCTCCATCTCACTCCAAATCACTAAATCCATTGAGTTCTTCATCCTCGGTGTCACTTCTGAGCAACTCCACGATCTCCGGAGGTAAACAGAGCGCCGCTTCCTCTTCTGTGTCGCTGTCGTCAGACTCAGTATCAGTTCCAGTTACAATTATTCCGGCCTTTCTGAATCCCGACAGGAAGGTTTCGGGTGAAGTCCAGACTTTGTCCATCCATCCAATGACTTCGGTGCACCCGCCCGGTTGGGGGTGAGTCTTATCATCAGAAGACTCTCTGGTCAGAAATATTTAAAAAAGTAAATATTAAAAGTAATAAATATATTAAACCCTTAAAATACAGCAAAAATGTTTGAGGAAATAATGATTTGGGTGGAAATGTCTGTCTTAAGTGGAACAGGGTTAATAATTGTCTGATTTTCAGGCAACAACTTGTAAAATGTTCAGTAATTCGAGCTCTACAACCTTCATTTCAATTTTATTTTAAATCTTTTTCTTTTAATATAGCATTGGTGGGTTTGTAAACCAACAAATTAAGTAATTCTGACCTTAACTAATGCTGTTATTCATTATTATGTGTTTTCCTGTCAATATCTCTAAAAATGTTGATGTTGCAGCCATTTTTAATTGGTAAACATCTAAAAGTTTACTTTCCCTGATATCCAGGGATTTTTCCCTGTTGCTTTCATCAAATATACATTCAATTGTTCAAGAGAAATGTTGCTGACAAACCAATAGAAGAGGGAATGATTTTCTGACTACAGGGCCTTCTGATGATAAGAGTGAAACCCCCGGTTGCTGTGAAGTCGTGTTCTCCATCCTCGCTTCCCGCCAGTTCCTCACAAGTTTCTCACTCACTCCAAACTTTCTTTCTGCCGCTCAATTACCGTTTTCGACTGGATATTTCGCTACTGGCAGCAGGACACATGCAGGAGACATGTGGAGTAGAGTGAAGTGACAGTGGTACAGGAGGAACAGGAGCAGCAGACACTGACACACAAGACTAGAGTGCCCTCTCACAGCTGTCAGTGTGGAAATGTTTAAATATAACTCACAGGAAACACCCAAACCATGAAAAAAAGTGCGACTTTTAGTCTGAAAAATACGGTATGTCAAAAACCAGGAAACACGCGATGGCAACTTCCAGCGGGCTCTATAGGCGAGTTTTATTGTTGACAAAAGCGCGCGTTGCATGCTGGGAATTATTTTGGTCGGCGGCAAGAAACACTAATTTAACATGACGAACGGAGCGAGAAAGCACGTAAAGGGTATTGATCCTGGTTATTTATCCACTCTAACGGCAGAGGACCCAAGACCATTTGACCAGAAATTGGTCATAAGCATCGATGGAGCCAAATCACCCTTTTCAACCCCGACAAAAGGTGGAACAAACCAAATTTCTGGTCAGAATCACCAACTACCTGGACAAATATTCACTTCGGCGATATCCACAATGACTTGGTGGTTTTCATCTTTTCTGTTGTAAATGGCCCAGGAGTTTCCACCAAGAGTCTGGATGTGTTGAACTTGTTGGAGTCCACGGTTTGTTAGGATCTTCTACGTTTGCTCTGCGAATGTTTGAAAGTCGTTTAATTCACCGTTAGTGGTTCTTTTCACTCAGAATACGAAAAAGACATTTTCCTTCTTCCGTGCTTCTATTTGTGCATCCGATAATGCAGCAGGAATTTACCATTATCAGGGATAAATACGCGAGGTTACGCACTGTGTTTGACGCTATCGTGTTTCTTGCCTCCGACCAAAATATTTCCCAGCATGCAACGCAGGCTTTTAATAACAATGACGTCAGCTGAAACTCGCCTATGACAAAATCTAGTAAAAAATTAGAAAATGTCCCAGTTTTCTTCATCTACATGTCAGTGTAGCGTCCTGTTGTGTTCAGTGAATCAACAATTACAACCATACGTCAGTTTACATCATTTCCCCACTGACGCAAAACTCCGAGCGCACCGGGTACATGCGATTAGAAGAGATGAGGCGCCAAATTCAAGATGATTCCAAACAGCACGTACGTACAGAGTCTTTATTTTATCGCTGATCACCTTTACTTCAGTGAGTTTTATCGTCGTTGGTCGGCGAGCCCAGTGTCGGGAACTGCACCGGAAGTCGTCGTCGCATTTTTCCAAACGTTTTCCTGGTACGTAAGCGTGAATAGAGCGACTTATGTCCATTTATCTAAATCTACGGTGTGAACATACAAACTCTCAGCTTTGTTCAAACTCCCAAGTCTTAACTCTTGATCTTAAAGGTGCACTGTGTAACTTTTCTAGTCTGTCACCTTCTTGTCTCCATGAAGATTTTATGTTATCTTTGGCTTTTCACTGTAACGCCCACAATGCTGCTTTAAACTTCTCATTTACACCTCTAAATAAAAACATGCTTCATTAAGTAAAAAGGTTGGTGAAAAAAATGAAAATATTTACGTAATAGAAACTAGCGGTTATGATCCGTCTCAAGTTTCATTAACAAAAACAAAACATACAGAACAGTTAAATATATGTAGATAAGGTTTATATATAAAGATAACATAGATGGTTTTTAAAAATAAGTTGTAGTAAAATATGTTTGAACAGGGTTTTCTTTATTGCACGTTTACAGAGAGTCCACAGTGAGCACATGTTGAAATGAGGCACACTGAGGATCACTGTCGAGTTTCAAGTCGGGTTTAGAAAGCAGAACGTTACTCCAAAGATTTTATTCTTGATTTACTTGGATTTCAAAATGTTAAAAGCGAAAAATACGTCTAAAAATAAAGGGTAAATGCTTCAAAATGTGTGTAAAAGCTGACGCTAATGAAAAGTTTAGAGACAAATGAAATATAACACTAAAAAACTGACTAAATATTTCAAAATCTTTAGTTAATACATGCATAATTCATATTCTGGTGAAGTTGTGCTGATTGCTTGTCTCCATGGTAATTTAACTTCTCTGTCTGGACCCACGCTGCACCATGAGGTAAAGTTACAGGTCAGATCTTTGGGCAGGCGAGCGCTCACACATTATTAAGTAAAAAGGTTGTGGGGGAAAAAATGAAGAAAATATTGACCTAATAAAAACTACAAAACATTGGGTCATAAAACTTGTGCAGAACCAAGACTAACCTGAGCACAGTTGTGTGTGAGCGATGTATTTTGTAACGGGGGATTTCTGTTTGTTCTGTGTTTGAATCTTGTGAATCTGGAGGTCTGGTTCTTGTCTTTCTTCTCCAGCAGATGGCGCCACTGCTCTGGTTCTTAGGTTTTCCTCTGTAAAACTCAGTCAAAAATCAAAAATTCAGAAGTATAGCACAACCGTCAGATTTCCCCACATTTCAAAATTTAGTTGGAGAAACATTCTACACACATTACACATTTTTATTGCACATTACAATATTTACAGATGTACTTTGCATGTCTAAAATGACACAATAGTTCAATTATCTCTGCATTTGAAAGTTTTGATAAGAGACGTATTCCTTTTTAGAACCACTACGTCCTTGATTTTTGTGCTTTTCTTTTCAACTTTTGTCCAGAAACTAACACAAAACTGATGTAAAACTATGATAAATATCACCAAACCAAGTAAAAATTATTAGAAAAAAAACTGGCATACACACTTTAAGATCGGGCTAAAAGAGGCAGGTTTTACGCCGAAGCAACCCTCTCCATTTATCCAGGCTGGGGACTGGCACAGAGGGACACACACAGCGCCCCCTGTGGCTGGATTAGACCCACCGCCCGTGTTCGTACAGAGTTAGTGTGTTAGTAAGTGCGTGCAGACATACTCCCAGTAAACAGCAGCAGCCTCTGGACCTGTGAAAACTAGTTTAAAAGTTTAGTAAAACAGTTCAGATCTGCAATGAGAAGAGTCAGAAGAGTCAGGGTTAGAACTGTCATTTCACAAGACAAAACCAAAACAATTTTACAACACACACATGGAAATATGAATATGAGATTTAACCTTTAACCCTGTAAAGTTAAGACAATGTTTAAACAGAAATGTCGACGTATTTCAAACCGGTT